CTACTCGCTGGTGAACGCTTTCCAGTGGATCCAGTACAGCATCCTCAGCAACGTCTTCGCCGGCTTCTACGGCGTCTCCTTCACGCAGATAGACTGGCTCTCCATGGTCTACATGTTGGCCTACGTGCCGCTGATCCTGCCCGCCACCTGGCTGCTGGACACCCGTGGCCTGCGCCTCACCGCCCTGCTGGGCGCCGGCCTCAACGGCCTGGGCGCCTGGCTCAAGTGTGCCAGCCTGGCCCCCGACCGGTACCCCCTCACCCTGGCGGCCCAGACCGTCTGCGCCGTCGCCCAGGTCTTCATCCTGGGGCTGCCCTCGCGCGTCGCCTCCGTCTGGTTCGGCCCCACCGAGGTCTCCACCGCCTGCGCCGTGGCCGTGCTGGGCAACCAGGTAGGGATGGCGGGCGGAGGGGGGCAAGGGAGGCTTTGGAGAAGTGAGCCTCCTTAGAGTTCGGCGTGGCATCAATGTAAAAATAAGTCGTTCAAGTGGGAAAAACCATTCTCCAAGAAATGGTTACGGGGCAGCGTTGGGGAGAGGAAAAGTGATGGAGCGGGGGCAGGTGCGGGGGTGATGTTACATCCCACCCTCCCTGGCCAGCCTTGCTTTGCAGGACCCTGGCCGTGTGGCAGCCTGCACGCTTCTGTCAGCTGCCTGGAGTACATCAGTCATGACCCTTTTCAGAAGCTGTCCTGCTCTGCTTTCTCCCTCTTGCGTTTGGCATCTTGTCTCTGGAATTTGGCATCATCCCTCTGACCAAATCCACTCCCACCTGGAGGGGGGTGAAGTACCTGAACTTTCATGGAGAGCCCCAATGCCAACATATATTAGTTCTTGCTTTTAAAATACGGCCTCGAGTCACTAAGTGCCAGTAGTCCATGCCTTGGTGACTCATGAAGTTTTCTGTAATGCTGTGATAGTTCACATCACCGTGCGGAGCTGGTAACCGAGTTGTTGATTTACTCAAGCGCTCTGGTCCTGGCCAGTTTCACAGAGCTGTAACAGGCGTATCTGAAAGCACGGGTGGTGATGTGGTGCTGATCTTTTTTTTTCCCTCCCATAGCCTTGTTCTCGCCCCCTGCCACTGTCCCTGCTTTTTTGTGGCAACAAAACATTAAGATTCCCATCAACATCACTGGCACAGGCTGAGGTCATAGGTACGGTTTGATTAAGGTAACAGGGGATTTGTTTTTCCTCATGTGAGTCTAATGATTTTATGTTTGTGCACTTTGAATTATTACAGCGGTAATATTAGCGTTACATATTTACAGTTAGGGTTGCTCATTATCTCATATCTGGCTGTTTACAGTTTTCCCAATACTTTTCTGAAACAATTTTTTTTTAGTTTTTGCACTGAAGTCTTCCAGTGGACAAGTCAGCTGTCCCTTTTGGACTGAAGATTTGGGGGTGGGTTGGTTGGTTGTTTTGGCACTTGAGCAAAAAATTTGCATCTGCTTCCTGGAATCAGGTTAAAGATGTCTTCGACAGCTAAATTTTCACTATTCCTGACATGCACCAGTCCTCCCAGTAGCAAGGAGTTGCTGGGGTCTCAGTTCTCCAGTACGGTCCCAAGGATCCACCTGGGAGTCTGAAACTGATGCTTCACTCAGGTGCTGAGATGTGAGGGTTGAAGTGGGGAAGAACAGGAGCAGGGATTTTGTGGATAGGAACTAGGAGAAGGATGGACAACAAAAATGGGAGCAGAGGTGTGAACAAAAGAACTTAGGTATTTCTGGAGCTTATTCCCCTGCAGAAGCCAGGACTGATCTTAGTGTGCTGATGTGCTTGATGGTCCTCTGCTACCTGGGAGATACCTGTGAAACGCACAAAGCGTGCGTCATCTCCCTCTGGCAGTCCTGCGCAGAGGATAACGGCTTGTTCTGCAGCTATGCTGTACCCCGCTGGCTCAGAGCTGTGTGCTGCATAGGTCTTAGGATCCCAGTTCTGCTTGTGACCCATGAAGACTGATACGGTGTCAAACAATAGAATTTCTCTGTCCTCAATTTTTGCTTTCTTAAAAAAAAAAAAACCCAAAACCAAACCTCTGAAAAGCTGGAATGAAAGAGTAGTAAAATGACAAATTAGACACTTGGAAGTCAGAAGTAATGTTGTCTGTATATCCCAATGCAGTTCACTTCTGCATATGCATTACAGTACAGTCTCACTGTACTTGTTTAGTTGCACAAGGTGAACTATGTAACAGAATCGGGTTGCTATAACCAACTGGGCTGTAGGTCATCTGATTTCTTATCAGATATTTTGCATAGCTTCAGAGCTACAGCAAGCAGGGCTGGGGACCGTAGGCAGGGGAGGGACAGAGTAGTTATCAAGAATCTGATTGCACCCATTATCTCTTGAGATGCTGATCATTTGCAGTTAAAACACAAATCACTGGGAATGCAGCGATATACCTGTCAAGGGTTGTTAGGAGTGCCAGATTTCCACAAGTGTTTATCATCTTAAACTGGCCACACCAGACTCACTGGAACTCTCGATCCTTCTGGCCTTAACCTCTCTAGATGTAAAAGTTGAAAAATGGTATCACTTGACTTTCTTGCAGTATTGTAGGTACTGTATTGGCTCACATTGGGGAAGGAAAAAACATACCTTAAGAAAAAGAGTGATTGTGTGCTCAGTTAATGTTTGTAGGATTCGTATACTGACGGGTGAGGATAAAAAGAAACAAATTCTTCAGGTGGGCACTGGATACTGTGTAAATCTGATGGTCTGGTCGAAAAAGAAGCAGCAAAACCCTCATCGGGCATATGCACAAAGGGTGCTTTGTAAGCACATTGGCACACCTTTCATTTGAGTACTTTCCGAGTGTTGGACTTGCTACTCTAGCATTCTCTAGTGCTCTTTTTTATTTATTTTTTTTTACCTGAAATAGAGACAGGGTTTTTTAGTAAAAAAAAAAAAAAATTGTTCTAACACTTTAAAATGCAGTTTAGTTTTGGAGGAGCAATGGAGAGAAATTGGAGAGTAATCGAAGACTGTTGTTCCTTCATGTTTTAAAATGCTTTATACCCGAAATTTCACTCCTTGTTTTTTGTCTCTTTTTTTATATAAAATCAGTTGCTATGTTGGAATTGACTCCAGATACAAACCCACTACTACTTTATTTTGTGATTTTTCTTTATTTCATTAGCAACAATTGCAGATATACGTTTTGGTTTTGTGTTTCTTAATAAGGACGCTCCTTTTCTCTTGCTCTTCTCTGCTCGGTCAGTTCTGCAGTAAACCTTGCATGTCAGTCTTTGTTACTGTAGTGGCAGGATCGTGACATCAAGTGGAGCATTTTGATCGAGAAGAAGAGAAGAGTGCTTTTACAGGAGTAGCTGGAGTCTTCTGTCATCTCTAGGTCTTCAGCTGCAGGATGACTGAGACAAATACATGTGCATGCACAGTATTTTCCTGTGAAAGATTCTTCTGCAAAAAAAACCTTCCTTAATGCTTGGTTGTTAAATGTGCTATATACTAGGTGTGGTATTGTAGTTGAATTTGGAAATGAAAAGGTTACAACCTTCCATAACCTGAATTATGGAAGGCCTGGTTGTGAAATGTCATTGGGAGCAAATGGCTCAGAAGTGTGATACTAAAGGAACACTTTTCCTTCATAGTTTTATTAATACTTATTATGATATAAATTCTGAGTTCTACCTGGTAAGGCTTTTTGCTTCTGTTAATTTTTATGTTCACAGAAGTGATTTTTGGTTTTCTTTTCTTGCTTTACAGCTTGGCACTGCAATTGGCTTTTTGTTGCCACCTGTTTTGGTTCCAAATACACCTAACGATATCAATCTAATGGCACATAACATCAGCATCATGTTCTACGGAACAGCGATGGTGTCCACACTTTTGTTCTTCTTAACAGGTGTTGGTAAGTGTTCCGTTCTTGTAATTTCAATGGTGAGCATAGGGAGTGTTTACAACATCTCACTTAAAGCATCTGATTTTGCTCGAAGTAGTTGAGGTTATATTTTCTCCAATTTACTTGTGTTCGCTTACCAGTTGCACCAGGGTTAAGCGACAGCCAGTTTACTGTATGTCATGCTTCACGTGGGTTGACCTCTCTCAGAGTATTTAATTCACTTAGGCTTTTTGCTACAAGGACGTGATGATACAATGTGAATTCTCTCTGTTAATCTTACAATTCAGATACAAAGGTCTAGACACCTTGCAGATGAAGTCTGTCTTTGACCATACGTTGGTAGCAATCAGATGTGACCAAATAATTAGCCCATCCTTTGTGGCTGTGACTTGATTCTTCCATGAGAAAATCTAGAATATTTTTTTCATGGAAATGTTAAAAACCACAAGTTAGTCTTCTGAAATTCATCCGACCGAAACACTTCAAAAAGAAAAAGCATTAGTCTGGTAAAGACAAATCAAAATTGTTCCTTCTTCTTTTTCCCCAGTGTTTGAAGAAAAGCCCAAATACCCTCCTAGTCACTCTCAAGCAGTCCTGCAAACTATGCCTCCCGAGGATTACTCCTACAAGCAGTCGATTATCAACTTGTTCAAAAATATTCCCTTTGTACTTTTGCTGATCAGTTACGGTAAGTGGTGCTGTCTGGCTGTAGTCTGGCAGAACAGTTCAAATGTGTGCTGAAAGCACGCTGAGTTTTAGTTGTGGGGGTAGTTTTTTATGGGGGAGGGAGTGTCAAACTTTTACTTACTCAGCAGCCAGTGCTGGAAAATCTGGCAGGATGCAAAATACCATTTGTAGGTCTGGCGAAGAGATTTTACCTGGCAGATAAAAGGTTTTGCCTCTGATGTGAATCTTATATATCAGAAGGTTAACTCTTTAGGGTAGCAGATCTCCGTGGCTACATCTGGAATGACTGAAGCTTTTCTTTTGGTACTGCAGGTATTATGACTGGGGCATTTTATTCTGTCTCCACGTTACTAAACCAGATGATAGTAACTCATTATGAGGTAAGTTTCTTGGGTATTCTTTGTAATTTTTTTTTAACTGTACATTTGCAGAGGTGATGCAATTATTATTATTTATTTATTATTATGTAGGTGCTATGTGTGCTCAGACGTTTGGTTTCCTTTATACCCCCCCCTACAGTTTCTTGCACCATACAGCTATGGGAGTCATAGGAATGTTTGTTTGCGCTTATGTCTGCCAAGAGGTCTGAACTTGACTCTGAGTGGAAGCAAGTTATTAATGAGCACCATATAAATATTTGTTGAAAGGGAGAAGAAGTGAACGCTGGGAGAATTGGCTTGACACTGGTGGTGGCAGGAATGGTGGGTTCGATTATTTGTGGTTTGTGGCTGGATTACACTAAAACATACAAGTAAGTGTGGGTAGGCATGTATGGGGTTAAGGGTAGGAGAGCAGTGCAATTGCATTAGAAAAATACTGCAATGTAAGGGCTGAAGTGAACTGATGATAAAATGCAGTTCATCCCTGATCTTTTAGTGGCCTTGATGGAGACTAGTTTCTGAGGCTACAGCAAAAGCTTGAGACTCTTACTCGCTCTTGGCCAAAAGAAATGACAGAGGAGAATGCAAAGATGCAAGGGGTTTTCCATCTACTCCTGTTTCTTCAGGAGTGTAAGGCTAACAAGGGAAGCACTGTATGTCCTACATACAGTGGCCAGGTGGCCCAATGCATAAAGGCTCAAAACCTCTGCATCGTTTTGTAAAATGGACAGTTGATGAATTCTCATTTTTTTCATACTATTCCTGGTCCTATTAGTAAGCATAACAGTTGCTTTAATTCAGGGGGTGACCATGGAGCAGAAGTCTGTTCTGGGGTAGGAGCTCCCGGGTCCATCACCCATGGTGCGGTGCCCGCCAGGAGTGAGCCGTGCCCGGATGCGCTGCTTGCGGTGGAGTAGTTCTCCCCCGTGACTCTTAGTACATTACGTGCAAGAGCTCTAGAAACCTAATGGATGTTAATGCTGTAGATTGGCTTGCTTTCTGCATGTGTTTTGGCTTATAAGTAAGCGATACGTGCTTTAATATTTTGGATGACATCCCTTATTCCAGATTTAAAATAAATAGAACGTTGTAATGAGATTTGTTTGACTTGCCTCTTAGGCTGACTTTATTGCTAATAGTGTTCGATTTGGCTGCTCATGTATTGATGTATTGTATAATGGGCAGTGCTGCAGAATGGCCAAGAGGCACAACATAGTGGAGAACTAGAACAGGCTTAAGGTAATAGTATTTGCTGTGATTGTCCACTCTTTGAGAGTCTGAGTAAGTCTTTTTAGTCTTGAGTGAAGCAGCCATATAACCAAGGCAGTGAAGAGTTTGGGAAGGGATACGTTCTCATTGCATGATATATTTGAGTCAGAATTACATGAAGCAATTTTTATAGGTGTAGAATGTCAGTTGTTAGAGAGTAAGTAATGTTTATGTTACTTTTCCATTCTTCAGCAATGTGCTGTGACCTTATGTTAACAATGTTAATTTTCTTTTTTTTTTCTGTTGGGTTGCAGGCAAACTACTTTGATTGTTTACATACTCTCTTTCATTGGGTTGCTGGTATTTACTTTCACTCTGGACCTCGGATACCTTATAGTAGTATTCGTGACTGGAGGAGTGCTTGGGTGAGCAATTAAAGAGGACTGGAAGACTTACTGCACTTCTGTTCAGACACAATATTTAACTTTTAACTAAAGGATTCTACTGTATATTCTGTCACTATGCTCTCAACCTATGCCTATAGTGCACAGTACAAATAGGGTTTACTAGGGTTTCACCTTCTGTTACATCAGAATAAATCTAAAGTAACTCACTTTTCAGTTAATTTCATTTAACATTTTTATGGACCTAACAGAAGTCTGTACGTGGTCAATCTGTTTGGTTCCAATTCTAAAAGCTGTCTGCAGTAAAGTTGAATCTTTCTGTTCACCAGTGGATAAGTGGTTAGAGTTTAACTGCGCAAATCTAGGAAGACTGGCTTCTGTGCATTTTGATTAATCTATATTTTAATAGCCCAAGCAATGTGCTGGGTGCGTTGTTCGCTCAGAAGAGCATGAGCACTTCTCATAGACACATAATCTACAAGTCCCAAAAGGTGCTGAGGGAGTAGTGCTGTATCCAGCCACAGCAGTCTACAAGGTAGAGTCAGAAATGTCCTGTGAGTTTCAGTTTAAAAACCAATCTACCAACCTCAACTGCATTAAGCCCCTGCTCCTCCTGTCAGCCGTCGGTCCCCTCAGCTTCTTCCACAGCAGCTTCTAGCAGACCTTCCAGTGTCCAGCCTCACTCCCTACTGAAGGTCTCTTTTTGTCCTCCAGCATGGGTGTTTGGGCTGATCAGATGATGATGTTCATGTATGTCTTTCATTTTAAAGTAATTGGCTTCAATTATGGAGTGGCTTGTGGACTGGTCAGAGAAGTTTGTTTCGTATGTATGGAGTGGAGAGCAGGTGGTTATGGGAAACAGGACAAGTATGTTAAAACATTTTGTCCTAAAAAGAGAGATGTATGGCTAAAATTGTTGGATGAAGTTGGGGGAATGAAGCAGGCAAAGCAAGTATTGAATCATGTTAGGTCTTGAAAACAGACAGTTCAGAACACCAGCTAATTCATAACACCACATGTTTATGTTTGATTTTCTTAGCTGTAGTAATAGATGAAGGCCACACCTGTCATCCTCTTACTCTCCTCTTCAACAGGTTCTTCATGACTGGCTATCTTCCACTTGGGTTTGAATTTGCTGTGGAAATTACATACCCAGAGTCTGAAGGCACTTCCTCAGGACTCCTTAATGCATCAGCACAGGTTATATAATTTTGTTTCTTGAAGTGAAATAATATTCAGAAAAGCCACTCTGCTCAAATCTAAGAAGGCTTTCTTAGACTTGGCTGCTAAGTCTCTGTTGTGTTGCTGTAGTCTTAATTTTTTTTTAATTTGGTTTCTATAAGATGTGACCTGAAGCAATGACTCTTTTCTATGCCATCCTGATGAAGTAACTTGTTTGTTTATAGATATTTGGAATTGTCTTTACACTTGTTCAAGGAAAACTCACAACAGACTACAGTCCTCGTGCAGGAAACCTTTTTCTTTGTGCTTGGATTTTTGTGGGCATTATTCTAACAGGTAATTAATCAGAAATGTAAGTAATGATTTTTCTTTAATGTAGAAATGTGTAGGTTTTTTTGAGATAGTGAATTTCAGGGTAGTTTTTAGATGTCTCAGACATCTAGGATTTAAATATGTGATTTCCTGTCTGGGCTGACAGAAATTATAAGTGCAGCGTTTGGGGTTTTTTTTTGCTTCGCTTTTCACTTTAAATACTTGCTGTTCGCACACCCTTTGTTTTAAAGATGATGTTGCTAATATATGGACAGCCATCTGTCACCCATTTCTTGAATCATGTCTTGAATTTGAGGCAGATGTCTGTCTCCAGAGTAGGATAGTAAACGTAAGCAAATACATAAATGGAGACAGTTTGTGGTTTTCCAAATGCAAGAAACTGCTGATGTATTCCTGAACTGTACCAGTGACTTACACATGCTGCTACTTACAAATGTGCTGAAAGTGCTAAAGCCATCAAGCTTTGCTTTAAGTACTCATGGTTTAAAAACTTTTATTGTAATTTTCGGTGTGTATTTTGTAAGGAGCAAGTTCAATTTGTCAATAAGTTCAAATCGCAAAAGAGTGAGTACAGGTGTTTTGAATATGTGCTGAAAGCAGCTTCCCTGTGCTTGCACTGTACAAACATTTCCCTTGAAATGCATGTCATTGCAAAGTTGTGAACCAGCTTTCTCTTTATTTTTTGTTTCAGCATTAATAAAATCAGATTTGCGAAGACACAATGTGAATTCAGGGATTATGAATTTGGATGTTAAAGCTGTAAGTGGTGACTCTTTTACTGTGATTGTATTACTGTACTTGAATGCTTGGCTTCTATTGGCATAATAATATTAACAGCAAAAAAGTAATTGACAAAAACTTATAATATGACTGTTTCCGTGCTGTTTTGGAAGAACAGAGCCACATGGGATGCTGCCCTGAGATGTCTGTTTCTCCCCTTAGCTCCCATGAAAAAAATAAAAGACCTTCTGCTCTCACGTTTTCCTGAATTTTAAGTGGCTAATATTAATCTCTGATTTTATGCCTTGAATCGTGCTTTTTCATATTTGCGGGTAGCACTGTAAATTGTGAAGCCTTTTCGTGTATTAGGTTAGGAGGTGCTGTGCTATAGACTACATATTTTATTTAAAATGCCTGCAGTCCCTCTAAGTGGTCAGTGGCTTATGAACAGAAGTCACGCTGCAGTTTCTGTCCTGTGCTGCGGGAAGAGCTGGGTCCTTCTGCTGAGCACCATCTCAATTTACACGAAGAGCGAGCATAGCACTTCCTGCTGTTCAGGAGGTCCCAAGACCATGTTTCAGCAGCTTTTCCAAATTATCACAGTTACTAATAGAAATAAGGCTGACACTGGAAACTTTTTTCAGTGCTGTGGGTTTTTTGATCATTTGGCTCGAGATAACGAAACAGCTTTTTGGAGTCAGATGTTGCACAATCCTCTGTCATGCTTCTTTGTATGTCTAGGTGTCTTGCATATATAGCAGCTTTTGATCATCTGCGATTGGGTGCACGCTATTAGTGTCTGCATAAGGTTGAGAAACTTCCAAGCTGGTGCTATATGAGCTAATGTGAACCTGAAACCCGTGCAGCTGTGTGTGCCCCGTATGGCATCCTGTGGGTTTACCAGCCTGGGTCGGCGCTGTCTCTGGGGGTGTACGTGCTGACTATTGGCAGTGGTCCATGACTGTTCTGTTTTCCGTTATCGCCTTATTAATGAGCCTAGATTGTCGCACAACTTCTTTCATGTTAGCCAGGATATAACAAAAGCCTGGAGTCCTCACCTTGATGTTACCATAAATAATCGAGAGCTGCCTGTGTTAATAAGGTGCAATAGCACTTTGATTCCAAACCCTGATTATCAAGGTTCTACTGTATTTAAACGTAGTGGAGAAAAAAACCTGAGAGTTAATCTCCATGTGATAAATATCTATATGCTGTAAATACATACTTGAGAGTTATATTAAGAAGGTCAATTCTATTTTTTTTTTTTTATTACGGAGAGAAGGGAAAATAGGGCTTTCTAAAAGTTGCTAATTTGGCTAATTAACTGCATATACTATTGGAGTCCAACCTAATAATTACCCAAGAATAGTGAGGTTAGGAATAGCTTCTGCTGTATAACAGCTTAATTTCTGCTTTTTTTTCCCCCACTTTCCAGGTACCAGTTGAGAGTCCTGTAGAACCTGAAAGTACTACATTAAAAATTCAGTCGGCTTTATAAAACTGAAAGAAGATGACTTAGAAATGCACAAGTTTGGTTGGATACTGAACAGTATTAATTAGTGTAATCACTGGATTTGTGTGTATGGGTAGTAAAATGTGTTTGGTGATATTGGTGATAGTTGTGTAGTGGAAACTATGAAGATGCTGAGTTCATTTTGCCCAAGATGCAAGCAGTTCACCTTTGTATGGAATATTTATTTTAACAGTTTTCAAGTTTTGCGGTTTCATTAGTAACAAACTGTGTGAATAGTCTCCATGCTAGGGAGACATGTACATTCAGGATGCATACTTGAAAAAATCTGGAATCTTGAAGTACAGTCATCATGATCAGAAGTGTGTAATCTTCTTTTCCCCAAAGAATTGAGAGGTAGTTAATTTGTTGTTCAGTCTTTGCTAGTGCATTTGAAAAGTCAGAGAGTAGGTAGCTGCACAGCTGGAGGATGTTCACAAGTTCCTTTTTTTAAAATGTATCCGTATTTTTAATAGAAGCCAACGGTTCCTTCTGGGGAACTGTCTATAGCACAATACTGAAAACAAGAGATGACTGTAAACGTGTGTTTCATACTGCCATCTGATATTTCTTTTGCCTTGAAACTTCTTGATAGACACCAGAGGGCAGATAAGAGAAAACACTGTCTTATAGATTCTTTTTAACATTTCTGGGGAGATTTAAAGAGTTTCTTGCTAGATAAATTGAAGAAAAAACATTCCTTATTAAATACAGTAAAAAGGAGGAGAAAGGCCTTTGATATCTCTACTGTGAAGTATTTATAGGCAATGGAACGCTGCTGCACAGGTTGCCTCCACGGAATATTTTGAGTGCTTTCTCAGTTAAAAGTGAGAGGAGTACGTGTTTACAAAGCGCTGGTGCCTTTACTTTGTAAAGAAGACCCTTGCCTCATCTTGAGTTTAATCAGTGCTGCTGAAGAAATTCTGGTTTTTGTGTTAAACCTCCTCTGAATATTTGTGGAGTATCAGAAAATGTGTTCTGTCCTTTTTTGCATTTATTTCTCTGCGTTATGAATTGTATCATTTGTCTCGTGAGATTTTTGTGCTTGTATAACTTAAATTGTGTCTCTTGCAGTTTGTTAAAAGCTGTAAGGATGACTGAAAGGAAAATAGTGATGTTTCACTTTGATGAAATATTTGCTGTTCATATCATGCGTCTTACCTACAAAAGGAGCAGACTTCATTAACATTCATCTTGTGTTATTACATTTATCTGAATTTGGTATGTGGATTTCTCGCTGCAGTGCTGCTGAAAATACTCTACCTTGTGCTCTCTCTACACGCCTACAGAATTGATAGCACTACAATAATACTGAGGCACTACTATTACTGAAAAAGTCAGACCTGAGTTAGCAGACTTTTTGCAAACGTTTAAGCTTTAGCAGCCTTTAAGTTCAGCCTGCAGGTTCAGTACCATCAATGATGCCGTCTCTTTGAGTTCCCACAGATGTAGTGCTGTCCAGAAGGTGGAATCCTACTCAAAGTTTTCCATGGATTGTTACAGTTGGGTATGGGGAACTTTTTAACTCCAAGATAGTCTTTCAGTATGATAAGTATCGTTAAATGCTTTTCTTTTTCTTGTTTCACTGTAAATTTAGAGAATCCTGTTATGTAAAAAGGACCCTGTAAACTTAGCTCTCTAAACTTGATGATCTTGATTTAACGTTTTGTATGATAAATGCTTCAGACGTGGGAAGAGCGAACGGCAGTATACATACCAGAAGAAGCTAGGCATGCTTGGAACACTCGCCTTTCCAAAAAGGGTGTGTGTCTCTCTGCCAGGTCCAGCGCTAGAGAGAAAATGGGCACACCTTGCTGCTCCTGCAGAGGCGAGCTCTATGAGAAGAGTGCTCTGGTGAGGTAGCTGAAGATAGGAAAAGTAACTCATAGATATTCAGACGGCAGGCAAGAGCATAGGAGTGGAAGCAGAGAAACTTTCATTATGTCAGTTCTTTACATTTAATGACTTGCTGTGATATAAGCTGCCCCATCAAGGGATGTACACGTTTTCAGCCTGAGTGAGCAGAGTGAAAGTTCTTGCCTTTTGATATCTGTGGGTGGCTTTTCCTTTTGGAAAAATGGTAATAATGTGTGCCAAAATATATACCTTCTTTGCAAGGTACAGATTCAGTAAATATTTGTGTTCATGGCCCCTGGTTGGTTTGTACTTCTGCTGTTGCAAAATCTTACCAAGATAATATCTTTGCAGTTTTGGGGAGTTGTTTTCAAATGTCCAGTAGAAAGTCTTTGGCAGTATCCAGGATGCTTTCCGAAATGTCCAGTACACACTGGTCAAATTCAAAGATTGAGCTTTTGTCTTCCTTTTTAAAATTTATTTTTTAATTCCTTTCTTCGCTACTAGTTTCCAGTTTCTTTAGTTATGTTCAGCTGATTGTTGAAAAAAATGTAGCCTTTCTGGCTCCTTGTGGTGTGTTGTTGTTTTTTTTTTTTTTAATCTTGGCTACCCTCTGAAAAGGTCCAGACAAGATCTTGGCATGCTGGAAACCCTGCTGGGTCCCTGAAAAGAAAATATTCCTAATAATGAAGGCTTAATTACATCCTGGATTTAATTCTCTGTCTCTAAAAGGAGCTTGAAAGTTGGAAACCTGTGAGCTATTTCCAGGCAACGGTAAAGTATTTAAATAAAAGGCTCAGCCGCAAAATAAAGAGCAAATAAAGAACAAACCAGTATTTTATGCAATAATCGTATCATCTGTCTGTCAAGAAACAGGTTCTAGCTCATGGCAGAAGGAAGTTTGGGGTAGTTGGGGCTTTGGCCTTTTTGCTTTTAATTTTTATTTTTAAACAAACAACATCCACCCAATCAAACATCCATCTGGAACTGGAAATAGGGTTTCTGACTCTCTTAACCTTGAGATTCTGGCTCAGCCCTCCAGTAAGAGTAGAGGCTAAAAATTGTAACTGCTTAAAGAGGTAATCGTTTAATGAATGGAATTACATGTCAACTATAAGAGGATGGACTGGGAAACCAAGTGAGCAGAGGCATCCCAATCCTGTGCGTCAGCTTTTGCTTTTCAATATGCTTTGCTTTTAAGTGCTTCGAGAGAATTCTAGAGGGTGCGAGAGAACGCATGTAACGGTGAGCGTAAGCAGGGGGGCTGCCCCCAAGTTCCCAGGGGCCCACCAGGGCGTGTAATTGCGAACTTTCAGCTACAAGATTCAGAGATTAGCTTTTAAAATAACTCTATCGTTCTTTTGTTTCTTCCAGGCCATGTTAAACTTTTGCTAACTTCAGTGGGAGACACCCAGACAACGTTGACCCATTTTTATTTAGGATTCCTAACATGGCCTTAAACCCCTCATTTCTGTTGGCTGGGTGTGAAAATATCAGACCTGTAAGGTATAGTCTGGAATTGCTGCAATCAGGAGCTTTCTTCTTCAGCTTGGTAGATAAGTCCTTCAGAGCATTTATTTTGTAGATGGGTGCTTGTCTTTAATAACATCTCCTTCTGTTGCTGACCACTCATGTTTTACGAGGAAGAAAGAACAAGGGAAGAGGTTGTATTCATATGGGACAACAGGAAGAATCCATATGAATCATTGCAGGTTAATAGGGCTTTCCTAACTTCATCTTCTTGGTCACTTTTTGTTCAAGACAGTCTGTTGTTTCGGAGACAATCACTGGAGTGTGTAATTAGAGCTGCCAGCCCATGTTGCCTAATGAAAAAATGCTTTTTCAGAAATCTTTGGACCATCTTGTGCATCTACAACCAAGTGAAGTTGGGTTAAGCTATAAGCATTTATTGCTTTCATTTTCCATTCTGTGAACTCATGAGTTTTCCTGCGTGAATGGGAACGTGACCTTTTCGGTTGCTGTCTTTCACTACATGTATGTACCACTTTCTTAAGGGTTATAGGCAACTAATGATTCATAGACCACAAACTAAATTATTGTATCCCATGTAATTTCCCCACCACCACCATTCAGTCTGAAGTCTGTGAAGAGGGAGAAGTGATGTTAATGCATGAACTAGAATGAATTAAGCAAAAAATATTCCTAAGAGAAATGTATTTCCATGTAAGATCCATGTTATTTACTGCTCGTCTTTGTTCTTCTCATGAAGATAGCAAAGATTTTTGCTGTAATATTTTATTTTTGTTAGTGTCCCATTCTTTGTTTCAAGAGAAAATTAAAAAATCCTTATGAATATTCTCTGATTGCAATATTGTACTTATGTGTATATGTGGGTGGCATCGTTCCTTACCATTATATGTTACTAATAAAATGTATAACATGTAACTGGATTGGAGCCAAGATTACCGTTTTTGACAGCTGCTGATACAGCTGATGGTCTAGAAGTGATTCAACTTTTTCCTTAAAAGCTGCCATTTAATGTAAGAAAATTTTCCAAGTGAATTATATACCCCGTCATTAATAAACATGCGTGCACACATATATTCAGAGTGCATGTGTGCAAGGTATATAAATGTATTATACACAAGAGTATTGGCTTGCAGAGACATTTTCTCAGGCCATGGAATTAAAGTATTAGCATCAGGAGTTGAGTCGCTCTGCTCTAGCACAGTGATTTCTCCTCCTTTGCTTTGGAAAAGGTCTGTGAGGAAAAGAAAGTGCAGTTAACACCTAAAGCAGAGCAATCCAGTGCCATCTCCTTAAGGGTAGTGCAAATATTAATAAAGCACCCAGCCATAGAGAGATTATGTGGGGAGAGAAGGTAGAATAACTTCTTAAAGAGGATAGAGTGAGACATTGCATTCAGTTATGGCCCAACTTTTGTTTCTAAAATCAGAGTTGTCTTCAGCGGGAGCACAGCAGGACCCTTGTGAACGCTCTGCAAGGGTTCTGCCAGTTACGCTCCGGCGTTTAGTGTTGATCCCCACCACATCAGCTGTGAGCCAGGTAAGTTTGAGGAACCCGCTTCAAAGAAAGTAGAGTCACTGTAAGAAAATGGTTTGCTTTGGTTTGGTTTTTTTGTAATCTCCCTTCTCCACAAAACTGGAATTACC